AATATCCTATATGAAAAAAAGTAAACTTTTTTGAGAGAATTCCTTATTTGACACTGGGAAAATGAGTCGTTCTTAGGGAAGGAACTACACGGCAGGAACCAGACGTCTAGGACAACTAGTGGTAGGAGCTAGTAGCCAGTGACTGGACATACTGCAGTAGTACAGTGCTCGCATCTTCTAGTGACTGGTACACAAACAAGGGGACAAATCCGTTGACAACGGCGACAGAGATTGTCGGGTTAAGCAACCATTTGGATCGGGATTTGTTTGTTTGAATAAAATTAAGAAAATCTCGACAAAAGTAAGGAAATACAACAGATAGGAATCTTTCCATTCTAGTACAGTCCTTCAACTTGCTCTATGTCCCCTGTTCTTCTCCTAAGACTAAAAAGAATAAAGTATGGACATTTTTTGATACGATATTTGTTTTGGTTCGTCCATCTCCTCACGCCTGCGATCCTACGACATCTTAATTACTGATTGATCGTGCCATTCTCTTTGATTGAATATTGCCTGTCATGTGATAGAGAAATCACGGTAAAATAGGAAGTAGAAAATTATCGTGCTATTCATATACATATTGCATGTTTGCATGCACCAGCATACATGGCAACGAGCAAAAGAAAAGAGAATTAACACAAAAGGAAAGAGAATTAAGACAAAAGGAACATCTTTGCATTTTCTGAGAACTTTGCTAAATCTGCCTATATTTAATTACTTTCCCTCTTTGCATTTGCAAAAGGGACAGCTTTTTTCTCCTTTTATTTGGTTTCACGCTCACGTGTTCCATCGCTCTCGCTTGCTGTTTCTTGCGTGAACCATAGTTGATGTCATCTGTCTTCCATGGCTCAGCCTCCCAATCCCAAGAGGAGGTCCCTACCTCTCCCTGACTGGAGATCCGGCCTACCAGAGGATCTTCTCGAGTCCATCGGGCAGCGTCTCGCGTCAGGCCATGACGCGGCGTCCTTCCGTTCTGCTTGCTCCCCATGGCGCGCCGCCGTCCCATTCACGACCTTCGGGCCGCTCCTGCTGCTCCCGTTCGACCCCGACTCGGACCGCGTTGGTTTCTACTGTGTCCCGGAGAAGGTCTTGTCCAAGACGCTGCCCGACGTGCGCGGCAAGGTGGCGTGCGGCTCCTCGTGTGGGTGGCTGGCGCTCATGGACAAGGCGACGTCCGTGATGCTACTGAATCCATTCGCCGGTACCCGTGCCCCCCGCGTTGAGCTCCCACCAGCAGGCAAACACGTCGTGGCGGCATCCTCATCGGAACGCGTGTCTAGGGTCCACGGTCGGTGGGTCCTCCATCCTACCAATGGCTACGGGGACGCGGATGCCGCAGGCAGAGCCATCAAGCTAGAAGACATGAGGGACGTGTTCTTCCGTGAAATCGTGCTCTCGGCGCCGCCTGACGCCGCCGGCCGCGAGTGCGTGGCCATGGCCATGCTTGGGTGCTCCACGGAGGTCGCGTTCTGCCGGGTTGGAGTCGACAGCGCATGGACGCTGCTCGACATCAAACTGGAGTTCTCCGTGGGGTCCATCGTCCACTACCGAGACAAGTTCTTAGTGATCGACTGCACTGGAGAAATCTCTGTCTGCAGCAGCAACGCCGTCGGTGCTACTCCAACCGCGACGCTGCTGCCATCGCTGTCACCACCTGCGGGGCTCTGCCATCGCAACTACTTGGAATCAAACGATGAGCTGCACATTGTGGGTGCCATGGTGAGCACGTTCCACGAGACACAGAGCTTCACCTACAACAGCGCGATCTACAAGTGCAACCTCCACGACCGTACGCCGGAGTGATCCAGGGCGAGGGACATCGGTGATCAGACATTGTTCGTGTCTAAATATTTCAATGAAAGCTTCAGTGGAACAAATGTATCTAAGTACAAGGAGAACAAAATCTACATATCTGAGTCATTGTATGGGAATCCATACGACTTGGTCCATCAACTGGAGATCGTTGATATTGTTACCGGCGCATCCGAAGTGAAGCCCGTCCAGGAAAAGATGCAGGGTTTCGAGGCTTTAGATTGGATTCGACCCAATCTCTGAAATCTCTAAAGTTTATGAGCCTGCGACGCCGCGCACTCCGTGACTGTGTTAAATTCATAAACTTTGCTTTTTGAATTAAATGTCACTTTAACGTTGATGTTTAATTTAACAGTATTGTTATCTTATCGTGCAACTAAGGTTTTTAGTATAAATTGTTAGTTATCCCGTAGCAACGCACGGACTCGCTACCTAATAGAAATAAAAAGCCTTACATTGATCTTCCTCCCTCCGTCTACAAATACAGAAGAAGCAATTCTCGCATTTCGAGAAACCAAATATTTTCATGGTTGACCAATTTTATATCAAAAGATACTAACATTTATGATACAAAATAAATATCATTAGATTCGTTACGAAATATACTTTCGTAATAAACCGATTTGGAGACATTAATGTGAAACTATTCACTATAAACTTAATCAGACTTGAACAACTTTAATAGTCACGAATACCATAGTTGTATTCTTTTATGGACAGATGGAGTACATCTCAACTTTTGATACCATGTGTACATATATAAATACACGCACCATGGATATGCATCATTCTAAACATTCACTACTACAGAATGTTACTGTAAGGGCAGCTCTAGAGCCTCTGTAGGGGCGGCTGCGCCAGCCGCCCTTCCCAGGGTGTTCCTACAGAGGGTGCCTCTGTAGGGGCGGTTTCCTAACCGTCCCTGCAGTGCCCTCTGTAGGGGCGGCTGGTGTTTTCAGCTGCCCCTACAGTGCCCTCTGTAGGGGCGGCCGGTGTTTTCAGCCGCCCCTGTAGTGGACTTCTGTAAGGGCGGCTGTATCACCAGCCGTCCCTGCTGTGTGTATTTGTAAGGGCGGTTCAATCAAGAACCACCCCTACAGTGGATTTTCCAGCAAAAAAATATAATTCAAATTCAAATCTGACCACACATATATATATATATATATATATATATAATTCAAATTCGAATCTGACCGCCACAAATATACATATATATACATCCACAAACACAAGACTATTATTTAGAACATCATCACAAGTCATAATTCACAAAAGTCCATCATTACAACATAGTCCATTATGAAATCCATCATTATAACATAGTCTATTAAGAAATCCACAAGTCCACATGCAAAACAAAGTGCATCACTTCTAGACCCAAGGAGATGATATCATTAAGATCTAAAAACAGACACATGAATGAACTGGTATAGTTAAGAGCTCGTCATATTTCCTTATCTATAATAAGTTATATGAATGCTTCAGTTGATTAAATTAGGCTCTCCTTCAATTGTAAAACAAAACTAGAAACTAGCAGACCTTTTTGAGTGGTATTCCTTCCTTATCAGGATCTATTACATGAATTGCAATTAAAATTTCTGATGGATCAAGCGAAGGGCCATTCCGAGGTGATCCCTGCAGTAAAAAGGGATGATGTGTGATTAGTATGCAATGCTCGACTGAAATGAATTAGTAACATAAATCTAAGTATAAGTTACTTGAAAAGTTCAAGTCCTAAAAGAGGTGACAGAAACTTGTTCTTTAAGTTTCCAAAAACTTTAACAGGACAATAATACACTTGTAAGGTTCTATTTATGTCTCAGCCAAATGAACTCAAGTCTCAAGCTAGTGCTTCATTTTCAAACCACAATTAAAGAATCATCTAAAAATTGACTCAAACAAACACATATTGTCATAACAGGACAAAGACTAACCTGCAAGATTCGGGAAATGGCACTTTGAAACTTGTCTATTGGAAGATTAACAATACTGGGGAACACAGGCAGAACCTGGGAGCACAAGGATAATGATTAATGAACATAACTAGTCAGTAAGAACTTCGTGCTTTCTTAAAGCAAGCAACAACCTTTGTTTTAGAATATAAGATCTTTATGGAAGAAATCAGATCTTTGGATGGAACCGCAGCATCAGTGAGAAACCTGCATGGTGCAATTTCATTGGTTATAAATATGCATCGAATGCAAGAATACAATCTTATATAAAACAATCAAATGACAGTATGGAGTGAAACCAACAGTCAATGACAGAAACAATTCCTCACTAACAATTCCTCACTAACGAGCAATGCAAACAAACAATCAGTATAACTTGGAATTTATTTATTGCAAGGTACCCGGCAGCTACCAATTTGCTTCCCAAACATAAATGAAATATTTTTAACAAATAGTTCACTGCAGAAGGAAAGTTCTCCTGTCTTTAGGGATCAAACATACTAATAATCACAGCTACACTAGAGGGGCATTTGGCATTTTCAAGGAGAGCCGTTAGATAAAAAACAAAACACAACCAGTGAAGAACATAACATGACCAACAGAGGCATGATGATCCTGTGCTATTATTTTTACTACTATCTCACAGGCAAATTTCAGATACAGAAAACCAAACCAGTTGCATTTACCTAACCTGAAACTATTTCCTGGAAATAGTACTGAAACACACAATGCTTGACTGTAAAACAATGCTAGACTGTAAGACCTCAACAAGTCTAAGAGTATCAAAATCAGAGTATTCCACACCCTTCATCATCTAGTTTGCAATTAGACTGTTTTGATCAACAAGATCTAGAATCCTTGAACAATGCACCATCTAATTACCAGAACTCAACTCATATTATTCTAAGCAGTCTGCTTAACATAATGGACAGTAACCATCGGATTCCTTACCTTAATAGTAGCCACAAGACCTAGCCTGCAGAAGACATAGTTCGTATCAGCATATTGTTGACAGATGTTACAAAATTAAGGTCGACACAGCTAAAATCTATTTCGCTATCAAAACATAGCTTTGAGTATTGTGCATCTATTCCCCCAAATCATAAATATGTGGGAGCAGCACAATAACATAATGATGCACAGGTGGGAGCAGCACAATAACTCTAGCAGAACCTATTGTTCGCACAAGCTCGTAGCTCTAGCTAGCCAACCATATCCACGTGAAGCCTCTAAAACATGGAGGTCGCTGGAAATTCGTCATTTCTGACAACTGACCTTGACATGGCCGAGCTGGATGATATGGTTGCCGCCGCCAGGGATGGGGATGGGACGGCCACAACAAAGCCCACTGCCGAGACCTCCGCCGGATCGAGGCCGGGAGGCCCCCCCGCGCCGTCGCTGACCAGATCGAGGCCAGGCAGCACGCCTCCGCGCCGCCCTTGGCCGGATCCAGGCCGGGAGGGCCCCTTTGCGCCGCCATTGACCGGATCGAGGTCGGGCAGCCACCTCCGTGACGCCCTTCGCCGGATCGAGGCCGGGCGGCCTCCCCCACGCGCTGTCCGCCACCGTGAGCAGGTGCTCTCAGGAATCAACGCGATCAGGAATCAACGCACAAGAGCATCAGGAATCAACGCGATCGTGTCAAAGCAGCAGGAGGGGCAGGGATAAATCATGAAGCCGACGAGGCGCGCGCGCAACGCCACCATCGTCCTCCTTCGCCAGCCTCATCTGCATCACCTGACACGCTCTACCACCTCATCGCGAAACCGAATCAAAGGCCGGATCTGATATCGTTCGGGAGGACGGGAGGGAAAGGGACATGGAGACTAACCTCGACGGACGGCGGGACCGAGAGGAGGTCGCAGTCGCCGCGTGGGGGTGGGGACCGGATCTAGGCCCGCCGTGACGCGGGGTGGGGAACGACCGTCGACGCTGCCGGCGAAAAGGGGCGTCCGCGGGATCCGCCTGCTCTGACCCACCCCGAGGAAGAAGACGACGGCACGGTCCCGGATCCGACAGCCCTGGCCCAGACCCCGCTGTGGAGGAGCCGTAGGTGGTGGTGAGGACCATGGCCTGTTGGGGCGGCACCAAGTAGGTACGGTGCGTGGGGGCGCCGTCGGCGCTGGATGAATCTAGGTTGGGGAGGGCAAACTGGGCTCGGAGATGCGCTCGCGAACGGACGGGGTGTCGACGGGCGGGGCGCGGGCGGAGGAGCTGGCCGCGGCGGGCGCGGCGGAGATGGAGGAGCTGGCCGCGGCATGGAGGGAGGAGGGCGCGACCGCAGCGGACGGAGGGGCGGGCGAAGACTAGGTGGTGAGGTGGCCGCGACGGGCGTGGGAGGCAGCGGCGTTGGGGAGATTTTGTTAGAATCTCCGAGAGTTTGCATTTTTTTTTTTGCCAAAACATGAATTATTCACGTATAAATAATAAATAATACATTATAAAATTTTATAATTATTTTGTTAAAGATATATTTACATATACAATAATTAAAACAATTACGATAGTCTAAAATTGCAAAATTAAACTTTAAAAAAAATTAAAAAAATTAAAATCAAAACTACTAAAATAATTTTGAGACAACAAATGATCTTAAATAAAAATTTGATAAACATCAAAGTTGTAGAGATCATGAAGATCTATAACTTTTATTTTGGTCATCTTGTCATTTGATAAAATTTGAACCATTCAAATTTTAAATTTCAAAAAATAACAAGTTCGAACCAAAATTTGAGACCTACAATGATTTCAACATAAAAAATGATGAATACCAAAGTTGTTCAACTCATTAATATCTACAACTTTTATTTTAGTCATCTTGTCATTTGACAAAATTTGAACCTTTCAAATTAGAAATTTTGAAAAACGACAAGTTCGAACCAAAATTTGAGACTCAAATTGATTTCAACATAAAAAATGATGAATACCAAAGTTGTTCAACTTATGAATATCTGCAACTTTTATTTTGATCATTTCTTCATTTGACAAATTCTTAGCACACATTGTTCACTAATCTTACACATGACTCATATTGTTTATAAAACCTTACGAGAGATGTGTCACATTTGTGAACAATTTCATTACCACTTTGTCATATGAAGAAATGATCAATACAAAAGTTGTAGATCTTGATGAGTTATTCAACTTTGGTATTTATCACTTTTTCAGCTGAAATCATTTGGGGTACCAAAATCTTATCTGAAGTTGTATTTTTTTGAAATTCAAAATTTAAATTGCTCAAACTTTTCATATGTATATATTGACAAAACCAACAAAATAAATTGATAGAGAATGATTTTAGAAAACTTTAGAAAAAAAATCGTCAGATTTAGAGTTAGTATGAGGAAGAAAAACTAGTTACAAAGTTTACCCATAGATTAAAAAGAGAAATCACACTGTTCATTAGGATAGAACAGCGTGATTTCTCTTTTTAATGTGTAGGTAAACTTTGTAACTAGTTGTTCTTCCTCATACTAACTCTAAATGTGATGGGTTTTTTTCCTAAAAATTTCTAAAATCATGCTTCAGCATTTAAGTTTGTTCAAACTTAGATGTGACAATTTTTTACACATTTTAAATTTTGAAATTTTAAATTTAAAATTTGACAAGTTCAAACCAAATTTTCAAACCCTAAATGATTTCAGATGTAAAAGTGATGAATACAAAAGTCGTTCAACTCATCAAGATCTACAACTTTTATTTTGGTTATCTTGTCATTTGACTAAATTTGAACCTTTCAAATTTAAAATTTAAAAAAATGACAGTTTCGAACCAAAATTTAAGACCCAAAATGATTTCAACATAAAAAGTGATGAATATCAAAGTTGTTCAACTCATTAATATCTACAACTTTTATTTTAGTCATCTTGTTATTTGACAAAATTTGAACTTTTCAAATTTGAAATTTTAAAAAACGACAAGTTCGAACCAAAATTTGAGACCCAAATTGATTTCAACATAAAAGTGATGAATACCAAAGTTGTTCAACTCATGAATATATACAACTTTTATTTTGATCATTTCTTCATTTGACAAATTCGTAGCACACATTATTCACTAATCTTACACATGTCTCATATACTTTATAAAACCTTATGAGAAATGTGTCATATTTGTGAACAGTATCATTACCACTTTGTCATATAAAGAAACGATCAATACAAAAGTTATAGATCTTGATGAGTTATCCAACTTTGGTATTTATTATTTTTTCAGCTGAAATCATTTGGGGTACCAAAATATTGTCTGAAGTTACATTTTTTTGAAATTCAAAATTTAAATTGCTCAAACATTTTATATGTATATATTAACAAAACCAACAAAATAAATTAATAGAGAATGATTTTAGAAAATTTTAGGAAAAAAATCATTAAATTTGGAGTTAGCATGAGAAAGAAAAACTAGTTACAAAGTTGACCCACAGATTAAAAAAAGAAATCACACTATTCACTATGATCATGTAAGGATCATCTAGAACAGTGTGATTTCTCTTTTTAATCTGTGGGTAAACTTTGTAACTAGTTGTTATTTTTCATATTAACTCCAAATGTGATGGTTTTTTTTTTCTAAAAATTTCTAAAATCTTGCTTCAGCATTTAAGTTTGATCAAACTTGGATGCGACAATGTTTTACTCATTTTAAAATTTAAAATTTGAAATTTGACAAGTTCAAACTAAATTTTCAAAACCTAAATGATTTCAGATGTAAAAGTGATGAATACAAAAGTTGTTCAACTCATCAAGATCTACAACTTTTATTTTGGTTATCTTATCATTTGACTAAATTTGAACCTTTCAAATTTGAAATTTTAAAAAATGACAAGTTCGAACAAAAAATTTAAGACCCAAAATGATTTCAACATAAAAAGTGATAAATACCAAAGTTGTTCAACTCATTAATATCTACAACTTTTATTTTAGTCATCTTATCATTTGACAAAATTTGAACCTTTCAAATTTGAAATTTTGAAAAAAGACAAATGGGCACTGCAGGGGCGGCTGGTGATTGAGCCGTCCCTATAGATCAGCCCCAACTGTAGGGGCGGCTGGGCTGCTGGGGCCCAAGGACGCCCACTGTAGGGGCGCCCTCAACCTCAGCCGCCCCTACAGTAAAAATGCCTCCGTTCCTACAGTAAGAATCTGGCGTAGTGATTTTAAAACTTATAAGTATGTGTTTTAATGGGGTTTTCACGATTGAGCCGAATATTTACCATCCCATATATATGTCACACTTCATGACATGTCAGCAAACAATCTGGTACAACTAGGTGACTATGGCATGTGGGCCCAATATATCATGTGCAGTCCATTTGGCAATGGATTTGATGGTACTATATTGCACAACATCATGCCAAATAAAATGTTGCTTTAGGCTTCCTTGGGAACATATATAGGATTCATAGAGGAATTTTGTAGAATTCGAATTTTATAGGAATTTTTCCTATGTGGCCATTTGAGGGTTTGATTGGTCATTCTTACTAAATTATGCCAATTCTAGTGGAATACCACAATTCATACGAATTTTAGAGGCAATAAATATGATATGAGATCCAACCTCTTGATTTTTTTTGAAGGGGGGGGGGGTTTCTCTATTTAAAACAGAGTTTTAATACACACTAGGTCGAACATAGTCGAGAACCCCAACAAAAGGAGCACAACTCCATAGATGTGTCCGTAGAGAGTTACATGGTTTAGGGAAAAAATCCCTGAAACCATAGTCCATGATTGTGATCCCAAAGATCACAAATTGGTTTAGAAGATCTTTAGGTCCTGAAGACCTAAAGATTACGACCTGGTCCTGAAGATTAGTTAGTCTTCAAGACCTGATCATAAAGATCCACTATTGTACTTTTTTCCCTAGTGAGTTTTTTTCTTTGGTTTTTTTCTCACATAACGCTTTTTAAGGAGGCAACATGTGCAACACGGATTGTGCAAGCAATGTACTCTTTTCTCCTACCATTTTTCCATTGGTTTTTTTTCGAGGGGGAAAGGGGGGTTAGCGAGGCATACACATACCATAAATTTGACAAAGGGGAAGTGTTGTGAAATCAACTTCAGAAATTAGTGTGAAGCTATGAATTTGAATGGTGGCAAATTAATGAAAAGAAGACTGTAGAAGTTTTTTTTTGGGAAAAGAAGACTGTAGAAGTTAAATAGTAAAATTGAAGTAGCCATGTTCTACTTCTTCCCTCTGTAAAAGAGGGTGTACGGAGAATTGAAAGAGACACATCTGCATACAAGTTTGTGTACTGAAATTATCCAGAAATAAAAGAGTTGTGTTCTATCTCCGAACTTTATGTATTGTTGTGCTTGTGTACCAATACAACTCGATTCCTTCCTGACAAAAACAACTGTCTCGCAAGAAAAACCGCGGAACGATTAAAGCCCGAACATATAGAAGAATCTGGTTCAAGCCTACGCACACGCGTGGTGGGAATCCAACTCGGCTCCGACCAGTTGGCCACCAACGGCCCCGCTTTCATATGGTGACCCAGATGGCCTTATCGTGGGCTGTTGTGTGCATTGGTGGGCTCGGACATATCAAATCAGGGGGTTCCTTCTAGTTACACATGAACTGTTGCTTAAAACAAAAAGGTCCACATAGAACTTGGCCCATATGAAACAATGGTCCCAGACTCCCCAGTCGAAACAGGACACTGCCGCATCTTT